TTAACCGGGTCTTTTGCAAACATGGTGTGCAGTCTCATTACCATAACCTGACAGCCAGCAAACGGAAAAAGAGAACAAAGATGAAGTTCTCACATACAGTCAGCTTCATAGCAAACATTTTTTTGCTTGTTTTATACGGCTCCACTGGCCTAGACCTGTAAGAAGGATGAAATGCAGAAAGAGATCCAACCAGCTGCCGAATGGTGAGCTGAAGTGAGATGCTGGGAGCAGGATGAGTGACATGACTATACAGGAGCCCAACTTCAACAGGTGTTGTACAACTCTGGAATGCTGAGAAAGAGCAGCAGATGGACCAAACCGATGCACGCCCATCAGAGATGAAGTGGCTGACTGAGCAACTGTTCTGGGCGGGTTATGAGGTGGAGAGGCATTGTGGGATACAGCGACAGGCCCTGCAAACTGTGGCTACAGCCACAAACCAAAGGACAGTCTTCAAACGTATACAGAGTAGAAAGGGCCGCTGCTATATTTTTGCTGGCCTTAAACGTCCCCATACTCGTGGAAAGCAACGCTGTTAGTATTGTCAGCTACAAATGGAAGCCTAATGAGGGCAGCTTTGAACAGCACCTGAAAAGCCCAAAAAGTAATTTTCCTCATAAAAGTAATTATTTTACTAAAGAAGGAAATTAATGTATGCTCTGCTGTGTATATTCTCAACAATAAAAATAACTTACAAATATTATTTTACTAGAAATGTTTTCACAGTAGAAATGACTATTTCAATCTTTTTAGACACTAAATCATTCGTATTTTAAAACATCCATTCTTTCTTAATAGGAAAATCCTAATAAGTAAATGCCATTTTTGTTTTTGTTTTTGTTTTTGTTTTGAGTACAGAGTAGGTTGCTTTTACTATTGTTCTCCTATGGTAATAACTATGCTTCATTGAGATTTCTTTTTCCATTTTGTTTTTAAACTATTAATATCACTCCATGATACTGAGTTTGCTGCTGAGTGTACTGAGCAGAGAGAATTCTTGATTTAAAGATACAGGACAAATTAGTAAGTTACTCAGAGCTCAAAGGTCTTAAACACATTCTTGAAAAAAGAAAACAATGAAGTCTGGAAGTTTGTTTTTGTATTTTAAAAGAAGAACTGTTAAATAGTGCAATCCCCTTAGAATGGCTGAGAACTTAGAAAAGAAAATGTGGTTACAACTAAATACTGAAGGTTTCTGAAAAAAAAAAAAATCAAGGAAATAAAAAGGACTTATAGATATAAAATACATTTGTCTTGATTCTTACTTTTCAGTGAGATGTTGTGGTGTAATATTAAATAAGAAAAACAGATCTAAAAGAATCACATGGAGCTCAGGCAAACAGTAGGCACTCAAAAAATATTTAGTAAATATTTGCTGAATGAATGAAGAAACTGAGATAGCCTCATTACAACTCAAGACTAGTCACAGATGTGCATCCTGAGAACCAAAAAATCATTTTAAATTGTAACTAGACAAGCAATGCTAAAGGAAAATGGGTTTTCTTCTATTCCCTCTTCTCTAGGATCCTTAGGTTCCCCTGACTGTGAGGGATCATTCATCTACTATGACTTCTGCTGTACTTTTTTTGAGAAGTACTGGCCTCCCCACTTCCTTCCCCAATCCCCCCCCCCCACACACACACACAAAGCCAGATAAAGGTATTCTGCAGTTGTTTCATTTTTTCCTTTGTCTGGCTCACCATGAGGTGCATATTTCCTCTCTGTGGCTAATGGTGAAAAGGATTTAGCAGCTGTCACTTCCAGGTTAGTCTCAGGTATGGGGAAGAATATGCACCACATTTGGTGTGGGAAACATGTGATAGATATTTAAGGGATCATGTACCACACACAGCACAATGTATTATTAGGTGTGCTGCATGTGACATGTATAGTGTTTCCAAAGAAGTGCCTGGTGAGCTTGAACCTCCGACTATGAGGTTTAAATCAATTTTGCAGTCCAGTGCATTATCCTGCAGTGCCACACTAGGATGCTTCTTATATACTACTATTTACATAACTAGAAATTTTTCTGAACCAACAGTTAGATACATTAAGAGTCCAATTCCAGTGACAAAGATCACTTTTTAAGATTCTGCTGCGATCACCAAGGATCAAACATATTCCTTGAAGGAAGAGCTGTATATAGTGAGTGAGATGTTGGCACTCTCCTAAAATTTATCTAGCTATCTAAAGATACAGCCTCTCTAGTGGATAATATGAGAGGCTCCACCAAGTTCATGGAAAATGGAGTGAAAAGACAGTGGAGTTTACCCATGAGCTTTTGGAAGCCCCCTCAGAGATTATTTTCCTCTTTCTGATTTTTGCTCAATAGAATAATGTAAAAATCATATAAACATTTTGCTTCACTAACAGAGCTAAGGAATTTAAAGTACTTGTGAAGAGGATGCTTTCAGAATCACTGAAAAGCTAAATGGCACATCTGCTTATTTGATAAAAAACAAACATGAATCTCTTTATCTAATGTGACTGGCATCAATGATTCATAACATTATCTGAGTTCAAATTTCAGCTCAGGGGCACGAACAAGATGAACGGGCTCACTACATAAAATCCTGTACCCAGTTATCTACCTTTCCACTGAACAAAATAATGACTGATTCCCTTTAGCAGAGTTAGGTCAGTGTGCTAGTAATAGAAATCAAGTGCAGTTTAATAGCAGCAGCTGTTCTATTCAACCAGAAAAGAAAAAGTCAGTAGAGGTGACTGGGAATTTGTGGTCTATATAAAACCAAACCCACTGACATCGAGTTGATTCTGACTCATAGGGACTCTGGGTAGGGTTTCCGAGTCTGTAAATCCTTGTTATTGTTAAGTGCCTTTGAGTCGGTTTGGACTCATAGCAACCCTGTATAGGGTTTCCGAGGAGTGAGTGGTAAGCTTAAACCACCGACCTTACAATTCAAACCGGCCTTGCAGCTCAGCGCATTAACCCACAGCGCCACACCAGGACTCCTGTAAATCTTTACTAGAGCAGAAATCCTCACACGGAGTGGCTGGTGGGTTTGAACTTGGACCTTTCAGTCAGCAAGACAGTGCTTACCCTACAGCATCACCAGGGCTCCCTGTGGTCTATTTGTTGTTGTTGTTGAGTGCTATTGAGTCGGTTGCCACTCATAGAGACACTGTTTAGAGTTTCTGAGGAGCAGCTGGTGATTTTGAACTACCAACCTTGCGATGCAAACTAACCTTGTGGTCCAGTGCATTATCCCACAGCGCCACACCAGGACTCCATTCTTATTTCTTAAATTGCCCATACATCTCCTGAGCCTTAAAATTTCTAGGTTCTTTATTCTGCACATGATTGTAACTTTTTAAGACTATTATTTTACTAATCCTTGTTGTTGTTGTTGTTACGTGCCGTCGAGTCGGTTCCAACCCATAGCGACCCTGTACAGGGTTTCCGAGGGTGTAAATCCTTACGGGAGTAGAAAGCCTCATCTTTCTCCCGCGGAGCAGCTGGTAGTTTCGAACCGCTGACCTTTAGGTTCGCAGCCCGATTCGTAACCACTACACTACCAGAGCTCCTTATTAATCCTACTTACTGAAATAAAAGGTTACTGTTTTAGGTGAGTCCTGGTGTGGTGCTGTGGGCTAATGCATCAGACTGTAAAGTCCTTTGAACTGCAAGGTTGGTGGTTCAAGCTTACCAGCTGCTTCTTGGAAACCCTATACAGGGTAGCTATGGGTCAGAATTGATGACGGTACTTAACAACAACAGCAACATTCTTTGCAGATAATATTTACTTAATTGATAGATGATTTCTCTGAATCTATTTTATATTCCTTTTACTTTTACATTTCTGTGTTATATAGTCCTAGTGCAATCTTTTTTTGTGGGGGATGACTTCTTAACAAGTATAGACTGTAATTACATCTATTGAGTTACAAAAGTAAAAATATAAAACAGCCAAAACAAACAGAAGAAAAAAAATAACATTTCTAAAACAACAATATAGTAAAGAGGTAAGCTAACTTCAAACATGTCTTTAGTAAGTGTGTGGTGAGGAATGGAGGGAGAGTCAAAATGCTTAACAGTGACTCTAATTTGCAGTTAAAAGAATGTTGGCAACTGAATTGAATTGAGGTCAAGAAAAAATTAAGAAAGGATATGAATATCCAGGAAAAAAACATTGCCAACTACAAATACTAAGTTCCACTGTTTTCCTTTTAAGACTACCTAAAGTTTTTTTTTTTTTTTTAAATCTATACTTTAGCCTTGAGTGTAGATTGCTTCTACACATAGATTGCTTTCTAGACAGGGTATATGGATGTAACTTTCTATTAGCTTTTAACTGATGTATTTAGAATTTGACAATGTTTCCAAACTGCCATTACTAACTTAAAATCACTATGTGTATTAATTATATCATATTAATCTATACTTTAAAAAGCACAGAAAAGAACATCTGAATAAAAACCATGACAAAATCAATCCATATAATTTAAAGAAAAACATTCTAATATTTTAGTGAAGACCTAGTTCCCAAGCTTTACGTTAAGGAGTTCTGGTGTGTAGTGCTTACAAGTTGGGATGTTAACCTCAAGGTCAGCAGTTTGAAACTACCAGAGGTTTGTGGGAGAAAGATGAGGCTTTCTGCTCCTGTTAAGATTTGCAGCCTCAGAAACCCTAATCAGGGTCACTATGAGCTGGAATCGACACCACGACATACTACCACCATTACTACCATATACTTGTTAAGTGCTTTAGTGTGGGTTTCAATTTATACCAACCATGTATAGGGTTTCCAAGGAGACGCTGGTAGGTTTAAACTGCTGACCTTGTGGTTTACAGTTTAGTGCTGATCCTACAGTGCCAGGAGTCAGTCATTCTGTCTGTCTGTCTCTCTCTATATATATACATATATCTATCTATATCTATCTAAATATCTATATCTATCTAGATATCTATATCTAGATATATACACTCTGAAATATGTGGAGTTCCAAATTAGAATTTTCCATATTTAGTTTAACCATACCTTTCACATCTTCATCCTCAATTGTTGTATTTGAACTCTCGGTTGATTCCTGTCGAGAAGAAAACATCTTTAAATTTCAAACAATTGACAGTTTGGTTTCTCCTTCTGAACATAAAAAAATCATACAGAAGTACAGCTAGTGATGCACGAATCATGCAAAATTCTGCGTCAGGCTGTGTACATTTGATGACATGCAAATGAACAAACACATTACATGATTTAAACACAAATAAAATGACAAAACGCTGCACACATTTCAAAACGGGAGTCCTCTGGTTGCCTAATTTCTGAAGCCATATGATTCATGACAATTTTTAGAAGTATCAGAGGTACCCAATTTATTTTTAAACTCTAAGAATGCATTTGTTACTGTGCCCTATGGGATGTGCTTCTTTTCTGTATATTTATGAGAACTTAAAAATATTAGCATAATGATTAAGAACCTTAAAACAGAAGAATTTTTAGTCCAAACTCTCAATAAATTGTACCTTCTTTATAGGAGGCACTATGTTGTTTGTCAGGTGCCATCGAGTCAGAACCAACTCATAGTGACTCCATGCACAGCAGAACGAAACAATGTCCGATCCTGGGCCAACCTCACTACCGCTGCCACACTTGACGCCATCAATGATGCCACCTGGCTGATCCATAAATCGCCAGTTCCTTAGTCTACGCCTTTCTTGAGTGGAAAGACATTTCACTGTATCATTTGATGAAGATACTAAAGCTACTAAACGAGATATGCTGAAAATGCTTTTAAGAATTTTCATGTTTGCAATTAGCACAATAGATTTATGATGAATAATATACTTCCAAAAATAAATAGATTTTTCATTAATTTCTAAATTAGAAACTAGCTGTCACTGATAAGAACCTTTCTCCCATAATGAAAAGACAAAGCCATTTCTTTGTACAACTACAAATGAAATTAAAAAGAGTAAGCACACCTAAAAGGATACTGCAGCTACCAAGAATAGTATATATTCCCTAAAATAGTTTAATAAATTTTCACATTAATAATGTACTAATAAAACATTTCTTAGCAAAGAAGTAGAGCAATATCCATAGAATGACTAAAGTTTGGAGCTGAAAAAAATGGAAAGCAAATTCTAATCAATATGCTCAGTGATGTAAGCCAGATTTTGGAAAATGATGCAAATGCCAGTCAACGTCCTTTTTCAGATTCAATATAGTCAAGAAAAAGAGATCAATTTGTATTAATATTACATGTAATCTTTGCACTGAGTATAAACAAAAACATTTCACTGAAGTCAAGTCCAATTCATAGTGGCCTTATATGACAGAACAGAACTGCCCCTTAGGGTTTCCAAGGCTATAAATCTTTTTGAAGGCCAATTGCCACAGCTTTTTGCCCAGAGTGACTGGTGGGTTTGAACTGCAGACGTTTTGGTTAGCATCTGAGTACTTAACCATTGTGTCACCGTCACCAGGGATCCTTTTAAATTGAAAGGGCAATAAAGATATATCTAGAGTCTCCATGCACACACACATACACACACACACAGAAAGTCTTCATGCGCTTCTTACTGTGATCCAGTTTCAAACATACACTTAAGATGAAGATAAGCCCATGCACTTGTAAAGTAAACTCATTCACATAAGCAAAAAATATCATGCAGCAACTCTTACAATTTATATAGCTAGAATTATTGATGTGTCCATGCCAGCCCTTATGCTTGCTCTTTCATTTGCTAATGATACTTGCAAAAAATTGTTTTCATATGTGATGGTCCTGAATACCTCAAGTCTTTGAGGGACTTAGAACATTTTAAGTGTGATCCTTATAAAATCTACCTTGCATTAGAGAACACAATGCTATACTTTTTGCTTAAATAATTTTAATATTGATTAAATGTTAAACAAGAGGAAATTTATTTTGTGAGGCTTGAATAGTACTGCTATATAAGATCCCATGATTACATTTAATATGTGATAAAAATCTAGGGAAGTATTTCCCCCCTAAGAGATAAAATGATGTATGAGAAGCAATAAAAGAATATATGCATTAAAAAAAATGTTTTCTTTTATCCTATAGACATATATGCAAGTGCACTTATTTAGTTAGCATGCTGTGCAATAAATTTACAATGTACAGGAAATATTACAGTCTTCCTTCAACATAAGTAGTTAAATGTCTATCACTAAAATGCATGTAAATCAACAAAAACAAACACATATCACAAGAAAAATCCCAATTCTCTTCAAATTCATGCCAAACAGCAGGATCAACAACCACAGACAACTAAAAAGAAGAAAGACAAAAAAAAAAAACAAAAAACCACTGTGCCAAAAAAATTGAATAGAACACAAAAGCATTACTAAATTTAAACAAATATCTATCAACTCAAAGTCTTTTTTTTTTAAAGATAGGAAGAAATTTTGAAATTTCATGCAGAATACATCTACAGTACAATGCGCAAACAGGCATGGAGGGAAAAAAAAAAGAATAGATGAAATCACTTAAGATACACAGTCATCTTAACTTAAAGACTTTATTAGCCTGATTTTCTGACCTTCTGACTGTATTGACTAATGGGACCATTCAGTTGTATTTCAAGATCTCATTCCTTTTCCCTTAAGAACAATTTGTATAATAGTTCTGCATAAATTCGGCCCCAAAGAAAGTGCCATAGAGGAATTGTAAGGATTTCCTTTCCTATTTTCAAATGATGAATTAATTTTGCTTTGAATATTTGATGAGATGTGTAATCTTGTGAAAGAAAGATGATGCTGACTCTTTCTGAATACCTTGTTTCCATCAGGGTTGTGGATTACAGTGGTTTGGGGCTCCTGAGTGAGAACAAAATAGAGAAAGAAACAGTTTGCATTGGTAAGTACATTCTTAGTAGTGTGAGGGAGAGAGCAGAGTAAGCCAGCTGACAAAACTCAATAGTGACAAGATCTCAAGCAATGTTAACTGCTGTCAGAGGTTGCAGCTGACAAGGTCTTTGATGACAGATCTCCCAAATGAGCCCATGAGACAGGATGCCTCCCTACCCAACAGCAGCATGCAAAAGACCTTATTCTTGATCAACATATACACAAGGCTTTGAAGTCTAGAGACCTAAAGAGGCACTCACTGTTTCACCAAGTCCTATGTCAGACAGTATTTTTCTTCTTTAATGGATGGTCTTTTAATATCTGTCCCATAGAAAATTGCACTAGAGACAGAACTGGAGACAGGGAATTGGAGATAGAAGAACTCTTTGAGATGATCTCAGTGTTTTTGTGAAGATATTTTCCCGCAGTACTGCTTTTAAATATGCTTCAACTGTATTGATTATGACATTAATACACAGCTGGATACATGCCCTTGGCAAATCTAAAACCATTGGACCACACTTAAAAAAAATCTTTCTATAAGTGGCTACTCTGAAAAATGCATTTCAAAAGACCATAGAAATTCCAAGGAACATTTGAAAGGCTCATTAGTAGTCTTACAACTGATGATACAATCACTATACTTACAGACATATTGCCGTTAAGTCTTGTGTTAATTCATTTATAAAGAAAATGTTCAGCTTAATGAACAAACGTACTGACGATGTGGCTATAAAGTCATGTTTGTCCATGAAAAAAACCAATGTTTTTTTCTATTATTTTCTTACCAGGAAATTGAAGAAATAATCTCAGGTGGAAAATAATACTTAAATCACTAAAGTTTAAGACAAAAACAAAAACATTCAGAGTGCATCTATCAATGATGGAGTCCTGGTGTGGCACTGTAGTAGGATAAGATACCTGCAAGGTTGGCAGTTCATATCCACCAGCTGCTTCTTGGAAACCCAAAAATGGTTGTTAGGAGTTGGAACTGACATGGTGACACTGAACAACAAAAATAGCAATGACACACTTGGATTTTTGTTACATGATGTCTTGGTGGTGGGAGTTACTGTGATTTATTAGGAGTCCTCTCTCCTAGGCACATGCCATCGGTAGGGGCTACTTTCTACAAGAGTTTATGCAGCACTAGTTAGATCATGGATTCCTGGTGTGGTGCTGCAGGATAAGTACTTAGCCTCAAGATCAGTTTGAACTGCAAGGTCAATGGTTCAAACTTATCAGCTGCTCCTTTGAAACCCTACACAAGGTTGCTATCAGTCAGAACTGACTCAATGGCACTTAACAACAGCAACAACAAGCTAGACCATTTTACTTGGTTTTCTCCTTCCTTTTCCTGCATAGATTTGCGATTAACAATTATTCTTTACTATGCTATTCACATATTCTTAAAACGTTTTTAAGTTGAGGGAGGCCCTCCCACGTTAAATAATCCCCAAACATTTTAATTCCCCTAACAATGGCACTGTAGGATAAGTACAGGGCTGCTAACTTCAGGTCAGTGGTTCAAACCCACCAAGTGCACCTTGGAAACTCCATACAGGTTGCTATGAGTGGGACTCAACGACACTTAACAAAAACAACAACAGTAAAGAAAGGACTCGTAAAAAAGGAAAAAAATTCCGAAAATCATAAATCAATATATGGAATAGTTTTGAGAAAATATAGAACTCAGGGCATTAAATTAGCATTCAAATTTGGTGTTCAGTTTTTTAATTTTAGCATAGCATTGTCTTAAAGTGCTAAACTGATTCAGTTTTTACAGTGTGGATTTCACTGACATGGAAAAAAACCACACAAAAACAACAATAAAAACTGGCTTCCATTTAAAATCTAAAGCTCTATGTTATGCAATTTCATTGTTTGGATTAAAGTGAAACAGTGATAAAATTAATTTAAAACACAACTAACAAAAAGCTTTAAATGTTCTTGTGCCTCTTTATCTCACAAAGTAAGGACTTACAAAGCCCTGTTGACTTTTAATAAGAGAGAAATGGAAACTCTGAATAAGGTCTACTTTTATTATGGTCTAGCAATAATCACATTAGCTCTCCTTGATGTCAACATTTGTGCCATGAAAGGAATAAACCATTGTTTGCTTAATCATCTAGAGCTATCATCAAGTAAAGAGCTAAGAGCAATCAAATCACACTGTACTGTGTCTAAGGCAGCATGCAAATGATTTCAACTACAGAGACCACAGCTCTCAGTACAATGTTCAACAATGAAGTGAGAGAATATCATGTTAGGAACACACTGACAACTAGAAAACAAGAGAAAAAAAGAAATGATTGCTTTTTATCCCGGAAAGCAAAAGCCAAAACAAAACAAAAACCCCACAAAACAACCGAACAATAAAAAATAATGAAAGAAACAAAAACAAAAACAAAAAACCAGTAAAGAACTTAAGAAGGGTTACAAAGAGTCCAGGTATACCAGCGCCGGGGTAGGAATATTTTCTTTGGGGCTGGTTACCACGTTGGCTTTGTTGTTTATCTGTAGGTATGCAGAAAATAGAAACAGAGATGCCTTAAACCCCTTGGTAGCCATTCTCTCTATATGCAATATGTCTATGTGAAGATATAGAAAAGAAAACAAAGAGCCATGAAGATGAACATGAAAGACACTGTGATGATGGACAGGAACGGGGTTCGCATCTAGTCTTCGATGGAGACAGGCTAGGAGTCTACCTGTTATGACAGACTGGTACAAGAGACTTGGCTGCTTTAGCTGTGCTGTCTTAGCAAACAGTCAAAGAGCTGCTTAAGTGGAATTCAAAATCAAGCTTCAGAGTATGAAATTTATATAAACATTTTCATACCCTGAGTAGGATTCTGTTTCCCAGCTTCCAATTGTGCACTGTTAGAAATACATTCCTTTTTTTCCATCTTATTCTTGAGCCTGAAGTCACACATCAGCTGTCTCTCTAAGGAGGCATCATTACTTTGTTTAGCAGCTATCAAATTAAAGCTTAGATCTTCTGGTAAAATTCAGGCCTTATAATATATTTTTTAAAATGCAAGTCTGGGTCTCCTTTAAAAAATACATCTCCAGTTATACATGGGAAAATCAAAGGCTTACTATATTATGAATTTGTTGTTGTTGTTGTTGTTAAGTGCCGTCGAGTCGTTTTCGACCCATAGCGACCCTGTACAGGGTTTCCGAGGCTGTAAATCTTTACTGGAGCAGAACTCCTCATCTTTCTCCCGCGGAGCGCCTGGTAGTTTCGAACTGTTGGCCTTAAGGTTCGCAGTCCGATTCGTAACCACTACGCTACCAGAGCTCCTTCATTTAAATGGACTTTATTTTCAAATTTGTTTAAGAGGAAAATAATAAGTTTTCCACTGTAATTGCAATTGTTGAAGACTGCATTTGATAGCATTATTCCATTGCTTTTACACAATTGGGTTTGACCTTAAAGTAGGTGTCATCATTACTGTGCAAGAGACACTCTGAAAGCAACTCAGAGGATCAATTAATTATTGTAATGAGCCCACAGAGAAGATTCTTTGTAGACATAAGTGGCAACTTGAAGCCATCATTGAATCTGAGCTTCAAGTAGTTCAAAGACTAAAAAATTAATAATAATCAATCTTTTAAACTCATGCATGACAATTTATGATTATCAAACAGAAATACAAATTACCATTTATTTTTTAACATTATCTAAGTATTGTTATCTAATGGAATACATAGGCATGATTTTAGTATAAATAGATTTAAGGACTTAACGAGAACAACCTACTACATAAAATTAAAAAATACCAAATGACTAAGTGGCCATACCAATTTAACAGTTTGTGCTTTAATATTTTATACTTATAGCCCCTATTGACACTAGTACTGAGAGGCAGACAGAAGTTGACAGAAATTAATTTAGGTTTCTAATATTTTCCTTTTCTATTGGTTCACATATATATGATTAGCAAGTATTAGTCTTATTTAAATGCATTGTAACATTGTGCTCTGTGATATGTGGAAAAACAAAAACTTTTTGTTGCCCTTTACTGGAAAACCTTTAATATTTAATCTTCAATCAATATTTTACACATAGTTTGTTGAAAAACTCTCTATAAATCAAAGTGCACAGAATTCAACATAAATGTTGTACAATAGCTAAAAGGAGACAAGAGATAATGAAGTCTATTAGAGAGGGATCAAAATGAAGTATTTCTGTTAGTATAGAATACTGTTCAGGAAGAGTGCTTGGCAAAATAGTTGCCTTCTTTTCAAGTGATCAGGGTTTTTGCTTTGTTTTGTGTTATAAGTAATTAAAAGCACCACAAGTATTTATATTCTACATTCAGTTTATATTAGTGGATGCAAAGAATCAAAGAGAAATATTCTGAGATACTTTTGACATCTATTTTGAGATGAGACCAAATATTTTTCTAGGATTGTGGCCACTAAGAACTGCTTTATTTTAGTGAAAATGGTTCCACATGTACACCTATGCACAGAAATCTATCTGCATACTCACACACATTAACACACAAGTAAATATCAACAGGAGGCCTGGTGTGGCGCTATAGGTTAATGCACCAGACTGCAAAGCCCTTTGAACTATAAGATCGGCAGTTCAGCTCACCAGCTGCTCCTTGGAAACCCTCTATAGAGTTGCTATGGGTCAGAACTGACTCGACAGCATCCACAACAACAATAACAAGTATACAACAAGGCACCATGATCCTTTCCAAATGAAGGCCACCCTATCAAGTTAAGCCACCTTCTACTACCAAGAATGGGAAATATACTCTAAGTGAATATGTGCCTCAACTATCATTTTCAGTCATGTTTAAATGTGCAGAAAAAAAAATTTTTTTTTTGCCAAGATAAAGATTATTTTCATGATCTGTTATCTATTTTTACTGTGAGAAGTATTTTTAAGGTGTTTTGTAATATTAGTTAATTGACAAATAAAAGAATTTCTAAGTAAAAGGATTGAGGAACTGATCAAGTCTGGATCAAATATCAAGCATGGGTTATAGCTTTTATAAAACACATAAAAACTTTGGTACTTTTGCTTGTGAATGTAGTTTATTTTATACTATAGAAGCAATATATATATATGTGTGTGTGTTTAATGAATCAAATCAAACATTTCAATGGTATAGTGAATGATTCTTATGAGGCATGAGTAAGATATTCATTTCTCAATTATTGACATTATTGAGTTTAATAAATATTTTCTCTAATAGTGCTTAACTAGGATGGGTTTGGTGTATGATCACACTTTCAGACTATTTATCAACCCTTTGGGGGGTGTATCATGCTATGCCTAAACTAAGAATCATTTCTATTTAGCAATCATGATCATCATCTTTATAGTATTTCTTCACTTCTCCGTTAAACAGACAGATTAATTATGTTTATATGTGAAGAGAAAATGTTGTCCTTTTAGAAGATTAAACCTGTTAATAATATGTGGATATAGACATAAACATTTTATGTATTTAAAAATTCAAGCTCAAAGAAGAATAGTTAAAAACAAAAGTACGGTTAAGTGTTTTGGTACGCGAGTAACACTGACCTTTAAATGGCCCTATACTCAATATTCTCCACTTACACTAATTTAGTTAAGTAAGCTTTTTTATTCCTAAGTGTAAATGTCCATAGGAGGAGAAATCTAGCAGATAGAGATCCTCACCATCATCTGAACACTCGAACTGGACTTCCTTTTCTGAATTGACCAAAGAGAAAGGAAAAGAAAAAAAAAAAAAACATGACCGGTTGAATTTATAATATCAAAGCATGGAATACAGAATAATCTTGTCTTTAAGGAGGAGCTATAAGTTGGCGAGGAGAGAAAAAAAAAATTGGGAGTGTTTCTTTCTGTATAAGGATAGAAGAGATGGTATTTCAGTAGGAAGTGTGAGCTCTGCATCAGGTGAATGGTACAGAAAAACAAAGCAGAAAAAATAATTCATAAATTTTAAAAAGGCCACATTTTCACCAAAGTATTATTGGATAAAAGACAGACATCACTTGTCATCATTGAAGTCTAAATACAATAAACTTAGCAGAAGGAAAATAAAAATCACAGGTTAAGGAGAACAATTGGTAAAAGGCCAAAGACATCCTCATAGAAATCACAAATGCATAGTCACTGTGGAAAATTCCCAAATCGAACACAGACAAATGGTGAAGAAATGACTGGGTACAAACATAAGAAATGACAAATGATTCTCAGTTACAGTTTCAAAATGAGCTGACTGGGTCAAGTTCAAATGTTAGAATAGTAACTAATTCCAAGAATGCTGAAGTGTAGATGAGGAATTATGCATCTGCCATTGGAAGAGAAAGAAAAAGATTAAAGAAATAAAATATTTAGGTGAGACTCTGAGAAGATAACACACATAATGTAAATATAAAGTTACACAGTCAGATGTAAATTCTCATGAAACCAAAAAGAAGCAGTAGAAAATATGCTATTGTATTACTGATTGGAATTTTATTATTGTTTAGAAATCCAAGAAAGTCAAAATATCCTGCCATTATCTTTCTTGGAATGTTTTTCTAATATCTCATTTCCCTTATACATATCTCAATACCTTATGATATAAGCACAAGTACCACTAAAACCCTGGTAAACACTGTTCAAGCAGAGAAATTTAGTAATTTGACATTTGATTCCAGACTCAAAGACTTGGATTTTTTTAAGGTGATATATATATTTCAGTGGCTGTGGCCTTTAAGAACACAGCATAATAACTTGGAAAGGCATTTGGTTTTCACAGATTTTTAGGTCACCATGATAGCTTCAGACTACAGTAAAACAGAGAGGATTTAGATTCAATTTCTTTAACAACTCCACATATAAGTACAAATTTCCTTGAGTATTTGATATGTAACCAAATAGACGAAAGTCTAATAATTCTTGGTATAAATGTTAGTCATCTTTGTGCGTTAAATTGTTTCATAATTCAATCTGCACCCTTTATTATTAACCACAAAAGTACTAGTTTAGATTTAACATTTAAAAATTATTCAGCATCTGAAAGTCAGAAATGGTTTGGGAGCACCTATTTTAACTTACCTTTACTCCATCTGGTTTCTTCAACAAACTCTTGGCTGCTGCAAAATGAGAGGAGAATCATTTGAGTATGCTATTCATAGACACAGTTAGCCAGGTTGTTGCTTCTTTCCAGCATCTCTGTGATTATGGCCAACATATGCCAAGTTATCAAGGTCAACACTGATGAGCGAGAGCTTACAGGACATTGAAATTCAGTATCACTTTTCTTCATTTTGCTGTGTCAAATTCAGAACTACATTTTTATTTAGTTCATTGTATATAATTGAACATTTTAACGGTTGGACTTTATTTCACTGTTGGTTATGAAAAGGATACTGGAACTTTAACTGGACTATACTTTTGTAATCCAGAAAGTTGATTTCAGTCTTCAGACATCAGCTCACAAGTTGTATTACATGTTCATTCATACCACAAGTATGGTGACCATGTCAGTTCTGCCATCTAAGCCCCACCTTCTATAGGTTTCAAACACACTTAAAAATTTTTGCTTTGGTTAAATAATATCTTTATTATACTTTTGAAATCAGACAGTTGATTTTTTATTAAAAAAACTCTAGAACTGTATTTAAATGAAATATTATTTTATGTTACTAACCTAGAGTAAATTTTAAAACACTTGTCTATGACCTTTAAAATGGTATTATGCATTTTTTATATTTCAAATTCAGAAGTCAAAGCTTCATAAACAAAAGCCTTATGCACTGAAAAAAAAAAATTTAGGTAACATTAAAAACAAAATGAAATCTTCAAATTAGTTCAACTAAATTTGAAATCCTAAAGCATATGATCCTATTGTTGTTGTAGTTAAGTGCTGTTGAGTCGATTCTGACTCATGGCAACCCTGTAACAGTTTCCAAGGAGCAGCTGGTGAGCTTGAACCGCCAACCTTGCAGTTCAAATGGCTTTGCAGTCTGGCGCATTAACCCCCAGCACTACACCAGGACTCCACATGATCCTATAAATAAGCTTTATTTTATTAGAAGGGGAAGTCTTTATAATTCCTTGTTACTGAACTTCTTGAATTTATTAAAAGTGAAGTCATTCTTTTAAAAAATATATACTTATGAATGGAAACATATACAGTGAACAGATAATATTATTGTCAATGACAATTAGTAAACCAGGTGTAGAAAATATGAAAACGCAGGACAAAATACACACTTACGTTTCTACTTGAGGTTGATTTTATATATACATATATATAAAATATATTGGAATAGAATTTGGCATTTAAAATGGAAATATGTAGCTATAATAGAACTGCATGAACATGTAATTTCCTGACATTCATTTGATTAGGACATTATTTTGTTATCACTTTGATATGACTTTAAATTTATTTAAAAGATATAAAAATGTTATTTAGTTAGTCTTTAGCAACAAAGCTATTAATTTACTATTAATTAAGATCGTAAGACATAGTTGCCTTAGATACAGTACTATTTGCCTAGAGCTAAATGTCATATTAAATAAATTCTGTGGCAGTTAATAGGTTAGAAAGCAAACTTAGAATAACTGGAATTGCAATAGCAAGCAAAGAGAAGACAATGGTTCAGGGTAAGCAGGGATTTGGTCTGGGAGATGCAGAGATGTCCCTTTGGGTTACTATTCACCTTACCTCACAAGAAATACATTCCACATAAAGGGAGAAAAGAAAAAAAAAAAAAAAACAACTTTATAACCATATAATTGTGGACAAATTACTTTAAAGAGCATGTCTGGCAATGAAAGAGAATGAACAAAATACTCAAAAGTAAAATGCAGTATCAACTACAAGATGTAACCAGTTCTAATGTTATTCAGCTGAAGTGATGGATTAGAAAAAAAACAAAGTTTGTTTTTCATGCTAAAACATTAAGAAACAATATCAAATCCACGTATTAGTCATGAGTTTTTAGTTTACATAATGATAAAAAAAAAATGTGAGGTAAACAAAAACTTCTGTAGATGGGTATATATATTAATAAAGGCCCAGTTTATGCCTGAGTGTAGGTAAACACTTTAATAAAATATATAATTTAATTATGGAGATTAATTTGTCATTAACAATATATATCATATAAATCTCTTAGTGACTCACTAATTATTGGGCCATAGTGAAGTATTATTTGAATATAGTATTTATTAGTCAATATTTAATGAGATGACATTGGACTCACCCATATAAATGTCAACAATATTAATCAACTGTATTTAAGACAGGTAACTAGACAAAGGCAGTAACAAAGTTTTATTACACCAAACACATTAGACAAAATACATACAATCAACCAACACCGTCCCTCTCTTTATAACCATTACTATATTATTATTGTTGTCTAATAGTTCAGTGGAGGCTTTGAAAGACTTCCTATGGGTTCACATTATCTATAACTAAATGCACAGGGGGGAACAAGTGAATAATTTAATACAATTTTTAAAAATTAGACATTGGCTACGAGATTTGAAGAACACATGAAAATGATGTGATGGACTGTTAACCTGACTGAACTACAAAATCCAAGCTAAGGAAGTAGAGCAAGAAATAAATAAAGAACTGAAGAAATAGCTGGACAAGTTGATGTTGCCGATCACTGTTTACATCATAAACTCAAGTGATAATATTTGAGTCATTAGTCATTTAACAATTGTTTCAAGTACAAATGGCTAAACAAAAAGTTTAGTGAGCACAGCTTTCTTACGCTTTCAGTCAATAGTTTCCAAAATTTGATTTTTGGAATCCTGGCTCTTTAAGATATTCAATCAAAGATGGGGCTTCCAAAACTTCAATAATTTCTGTTAATGATACATAATTTGTTCTGTTTGGAGAGGCACTCCCATGATAAATGAATTGACTTCTTTTAACCAACTTGTGTTCACTATGCAAGTTGTAAAAAATTTGAGAGTACACCAATGATACTATAATGCAGAAAGAACTTTAGCCTAGAGAAATGGTTATCTCATGAATGATCTTTTAAAAACATTGCTTAATAGGACTCCCTTTGAGACTGAGATGAAAAAGTGAATTCATAGTTATTACTTTATGCTATGTCAATTAATCTAATTCTTATATGAAATGCAGAGCTTCAAAATGAGGAACCACATATTCGCACAAGTTATGTGCACCCCAGCAGAGATGACAGATGAGTTACAAGTCTTAGGTTGGAACTGGTTTTTTGGCGGGGCTGCCTGAGGCATTATTTTGAGGAGCGAAGCTACAGGAAACTGAGGGAAAGATCACCCAAGTGGTTACTAATGGCAGCTACAGGTGTGGAACAAATCCAAGCCACACATTTTTCTTCTCGGAACAGTGTTTTTTTTTTTTTTAATTACTATGTATATGTTTTAAATTCCTCCTCTGTCTCAAAATAAACACATAAACAAATGAAAAGGACTTCTAAAGATTAGAGCAGAGGATGAGGAGCAGAATTCTTAACACATGTACCTGAAAAATTCCTCGTAGCCAGCATAGTTGTCAAGATGGCACCCTGTCAAAGGAAAAGTAATGCAAAATTAATGCCACCTCTGAGAATCTTTGACTTAACAAATATATAGCCTTTGACAAACAAATCTCTTAGTCTTATTTTTAGGTAAGGGAATTTTGTTTGTTATTGTTACATGATTTCCTGAGAACAGCAAGCTTATATCTCTAATAATGTCAGGACTGTCCTAATGTGTGTCACCAGATTCATATTATCAAATTGCACAGCTGTTTTCCACTGAAGGGCGGAACAACAGCACACATTACCACAACAACCTTAGCTTTTTCATTATAGGTTTAATTCCAGTATATTTTCCATTTTTTCTAAAAACCATGTGGGGCGGGGCAGTTCCGGAGAGGCATAGTATTGAGGTCTACACATTTAAAAGCATTTGCTAAAACTCATTTTCATTACATAATACATCACTTCTCTCTTACCAAATCTACTTCCCTACAGAAATGCAACATGTCTTACCTTTAGTTTTCTTCTAGCATTAAATTTCTTCAAGCAGTCTACAGTCTCCTGTCTGTGCATCATGGAAGCAACGGTAGAACGTTGCTAGAAGAAGAAGAAAGAAAACAAATACTTAATTGATCATACTTATGAGCACACTAAACATATAGCAACTTCAACCTGGTCAAATCTTTATTAATGGTATCTGTACCAGTGCGCAATTACAAAAGTTACCTAATAATGAGAAAGAGTGATTTTTGCCAAGACTAACATGCAAAACTTAGTTTCTAGAAAGTAAAGAAATGGATAAAAATAATTTCCTAAATGATATTTATTTTGATGTATCTTATTCATATTTTTATTGTACTGCCTTTTTTTTTGTTTTCTAAGCACCATATTTTGTTGCTGTAACATTTGACATCTATCTCTAAAAATTGAGTAGCATCTCTAAGTTTATCCCCAATTTCACACTATTTTTCTTAGCACTTCTACAGCATATTCAGACTACCATGACCATTACATTATGCTACTAAAGCTCTGATTCCTGCTTTCAAACGTCATTCTCAGTATCCTTTTCTTAACTTCTATACCTAAGCAATATCAATAACTAGGGTGGGAAATGCTGGTTCCTCATATTGTAGGCAGCATATATTTCACAACTTATTTAAAATGGACTTTATTATGCAAAACGATGTTTTCCATCATTATAAAATATATTTGGCTAAATAACTTCCATCACACATATCGTCATTCTGGGAGTAATCTTCTGATGCAAAATTATTTTAAATCTATGCAAAAACATTCTAAAGGAGAGTTTACTTTTCATTTTAGCTCCTGGGGTCTTTGAGGAAGTCTCACTTACACAGATCCATGGGTGTTTCAGTGCCTCTGAGGCTGTGATACGTTTGGCAGGGTTGATAGTGAGCATTTTATTTATGAGGTCTTTGGCTTCAGGAGTCACGGTGTCCCATTCTGGTGATGGAAACTAAGGAAATAAAAATTTACAAAAAGTTTAAAAAGTAGACATACACAGTGAAACAGGGAAGAATAGAAAATATTAATCATTTCCATATGTAGTCAATTTCTTCACAAATGTATTTTTGCTGGGAGTCCACAGAAATATAGACACTAATATAGATATGCCTCTTCTCCAAATATATACCTGTATATGAGGGGACTTTAAAAGCTTAAAGAAAAAGGAATTAAAACATTGTGGGATTTTTCTCATAAACTTTGTGAAGCCTCCTCATATATATTGAAGAATAGTAATTGATAAGGGACAGACAAATGTATTAGATTAAATTCCGTATCTAGTAGATACATATCAACATTTAGAAAAGTAATTTAACCTTTGGTTCTTCTCAAATTATTTCAATTTTGATCTCAAAAATAAATTTTATATAATAATCCTTATAATTATTTGTAGAAGCCTGGTGTGGCACCATAGGCTAAGCATGTGATCTCAAGGTCATTTTGAATTGCCAGGTCGGTGGTTCAAACTCACCAGACATCCCCATACAGGGTCGTTATGAGTTGGAACCAACTCAACGAGCACTTAACAACAACCACATAATTGTAAAAATCAATAAAAACTCAATGCCATACTATTATGCAAGGTTCAAATAAGGAATTACATATGTTTACAACTCATGTACAACTATAGTAAAGCTAATAAATCAGCATCAATTCCTATAGTGGTATTAACTGTGGCTTCTTTGTATTTGAGTAAGAAGGAGTCTGAGGCTACAGGAACCTAAGCAGGATTTCATGCAAACTCTTCAAAAAGGATAATTTACCTAATTACAAATTTCATCCAAGGAAAGCTCATAAGCATAAGCAATCTTCACAACTTCTATTAGTAATTCATTTTGATATTAATATTTCATTAATTACAGAAGATGAAGTTCAAAAAGTTCATGGAATAATTCCATTACTTTTAAATTTCATTTTCTCATTAACTTTTTGAAGTCCCCTTATAAAATATTTCAAACATAATGTGGTAACACTAGCTATTAAGTTCTCTAGGTTAATTTTTTTTTTTTTTTTTTTGGTTTGAAATGATTCTTTAAACTTACTTTCCCATAATTAGCAAGTTAAGTTTAAATACTGCTCTTGATAGGTTATGAAAAATTTATATCACATTCATTGTTAGAGTATCAAGCCCTTTATCCAATTTGTAAATTTTTATAGACAATTTTGAAAAAGAAAGTCATAAAGCCATTATCACTGTATCACGGAACTTCAATCAGTCCCCTTTTAGGAATTATAAAATGAATAGCTTGTGACTCACTGGCAAAATGAAACATGAGAAAAGTGATTATGGATTCTTTAATACCTATGAATGTTTTTTGCTAGTTTTACAATTCCCATTATAATTCAAGAAGTTTATTTTGGGCAGTTGCAAACATTTACTAATGGCTAGAAACTACTGAAGAAACACTCAGGGATGCTTCTCAATGCTGTTCAGTTTGTATGATAACAAACAAGAGGCTAGTTCAATCTGGAGAAAGGTAGACCTTTCCTCATTTTTCTAATGTTCACAAAAAGACTCCTGCACATTCACCAAGCAGAATATCTGCAGGACAATGTTGTCCCAAGGGTTGCTTACTCCCAGTTAGGAAAGAAGGTGAATGTAAACAATAAGTTGGTCCAATCAGTCTGGATAGACAGAATGGAATGCTTGGAGATTCAAAGAATCTACATTTTAAAATTCTCATGACATACACAGTCAAATTTACTGTGAAACATACAAATTTAACAGAGATGCATTGAAAAGATGAGCCTTAAGACCTGATAAAATATAATATAGACTTTTTATATTAACCCACCTGTCAATTATTCTCACTTCCAGAAAACATTTGTAACTTGTCCACAGAAGGTGGACTTGTCACTGCCTATTCTCCAGGTGCTCCACTGTAAAAAAAATACATGGAAAAGCATCCCTGGAACCTGCACTCTGCTCTTCAGAAAGCTCTTTGACATGAAACCAGAGGAAGTGGTAAATCACATACACAGAAATATTTATCAAAGGGGAGTAAGTTACATCGATGAGAACAAAGTTAATTAAGTCATGAAAAGAAAAGAGAACGAAATCCTTACTCTTCAGAGTCAGAACTTAATTCATGTTCCAATCATACATGCCGACATTCAAATATTCTATTTGTAAATTAAATGTATTAGAATAATGATTTTCAAATATTTTTCAACTACACGACATGCCCTTCAAATAACAGCTTACAGTACAGAAGTCCATTAGGTCAACAACAAAGTCAAAACTGACATAGTAGAGGATGTCACCAGAGTAAGGATAAGGTTTGGCAAAATCTGGCTCTCTACCTAATTTTAGTGTTCCTGAGCTAAGAATTATTTATTTGCATTTTAAATGGATAATTATAACAAAACAAAACAACAACAAAGATTATGTGACAGAAACTGTGTATGCCTACAAAGTCGAAAATAGATGTTGCTGTTGCTGCTTTTGTTAGATGCCATCAAGTTGGCTGCCATCATAGTGACCCTACATACAACAGAACAAAACACTGTCCAGTCTGATGCCATCCTCACAAATTTTTGTTACACTTGAACCCATTGCTGCTGCTACTGTGGCAACAGTGGTCCATCTCACTGGTGGTCTTCCTTTTTCTCTTTGACCCTCCACTAAGCATAATGCCCTTCACCAGGAACTGGTCTCTTCTGATAAAATGTTCTAAGTATGAGATATGAAGTCTAACCATCCTGGCCTATAAGGAGCATTCGAGTTTTATTTGCAACACAGATCTGTTTGTTCTTCTGGCAATCCATGGTACTTTCAATATTCATTTCCAACACCATAATGACAATGCATCAATTATTCTGTGGTCATCCATATTCATTGTCTAACTTCCAGATGCATATGAGGTTACTGAAAATACCACAACTTAGGTCAGTGGCAAATCTGCTACACAAGACCTTTTTAAAGTGTTGAAGAGCAAATATGTCAGCATGAGGACTAAGGTGCACCTGACCCAAGCCATGGCATTTTCAATAAACTCACATGCATGTGAAAGCTGGACAGAGAATAAGGAAGACCATAGAAGAATTTATGCTTTTGAGTTATGGTGTTGGAGGAGAGTATTGAAGGTGCCATGGGAATGCCAAAAGAACCAATAGATCCGTTTTGGAAGAAGCGCAGCCAGAGTGCTCCTTGGAGACCAAGATGGCCAAACTTCATCTCTCACACTTTGGACATATTGTCAGGAGGGACCAGTCGCTGGAGGGACAGTCGTTTTCTGTGGTAAAGTGGAGGGTCAGAGAAAAATAGGATGACCCCCAACGAGATGGATTGGCCAAGTGGCAGCATCGATGGACTCAAGTGTGGCAACAGTAGCGAGGTTGGCCCAAGATTGGGCAATGTTTCGTTCTGCTGTGCGTAAGGTCGAAATGAGTCGGTACCAACTCGATGGCACCTAACAACAACAACGACAACAAGGTCAGTGCACCTGTACTCAAACCTTTTTTGCCTAATGTCTAATGCCTAATGCCATTTGATTTCTGGACTGCTGCTTTCAAGGGTGTGGATTGTAGAGTGAAGCAAAATGAGTTCTTTGACAACTTTAGTCTTTTCTCTATTTATCATAATGTTATTTATTGATCCAGTTGTGAAGATTTTTGATTTCTTTACATTGAGATGCAATCCATACTGATGGCTGTGATCTTTGATCTTCATCATTATTTTAAGTCCTCTTCACTTTCATCAAGAAAGGTTGTATCATCTGCATGTCGAAGATTGTTAATGAGTCTTGCTCCAATCCTGATGCCATGATCTTCTTCATATAATTCAGCTTCTTGGATTATTTCCTCAGCATACAGATAGAATAAGTTTGGTAAAAGCATACAGCCCTGGCATCTTTCCTGATTTTAAAACATTCAGTATCCCCTTGTTCTGTTCAAAAATTACCTCTTGGTCTATGTATAAGTTTCTCATGAATACAATCAAGTGTACTGGGAGGCTCATTTTTTTTTTTTTGTAATGTTATCCATAGCTTCTCGTGATCCACAAAGTCAAAAGCCTTTTCATAGTCAACAAAGTACAAGTACATATCTTCTGGTATTCTCTGGCTTAAGCCAAGATACATCTGGCATCACCAATGATATTTCTAGTTTCATGTCCTCTTCTGAATCCAGTGTGAGGTTTTGGCAGTTCCCTGTTGATTATCTTCATCAAAATTTGACTTGCATGTGATATTAATGATATTGTTCAATGATTTCTGTATACCACTCGATCATTTCTCTTTGGAACAGGACAAATATGGATCTCTTTCAATCAGTTGACCAAATTTCTTGGTGTAGAGTACCTCCAGTGCTATAATATTTCAATTTGTATTCTGTCAAATCCTGGAGCCTTCTTTTTATCCAGTGCCTTCAGTGCAGCTTTGGATGTCATCCATATCATAGGTGCTTGTTTATTAGTACTTTTTGAGATGAGTGAACAATGATCACTTATTTTTGGCACAGTGACTATGTGTATACCTTTCATCTTATTTTGATGCTTTCTACATCGTTCAAAATTTTGCCTATAGAATCCTTCAAGATAGTAACTCAAGGCTTGAATTTTCTGTTCAGTTTTTCATCTTGAAAAATGATGAATGTGTTTTTTCCTTTTGGTTTTCTCACTCCAGCTCTTTGAACATTTCATTATAATACTTGACTTTGTCTTCTTGAGCTGCCCTTTGAAATTTTCTGTTCAGTTCTTTTACTTCCTCACTTCTTCCATTTGCTTTAGCATCTCTGCACTGGAGAACAAGTTTCATAGTTTATTCTAATATCCACTTCGTCTTTTCTTTTTTTCTTAATACCCTTTTGCTTTCTTCCTGTGTGATGTTCTTGATGTTATCACATAGCTTTTCTGGTCTTGTGTCATTAGTGTGTAATGTATCAAATCTGTTCTTGAGATGGTCTTCAGGTGGGATATGTGCAAGGTCATATTTTGGCTCTCATGGACTGGTTTAAATTTTCTTCAACTTTAGCCTAAACGTGCATATGAGCAATTGATGATCTGTTCTACAATCTGTACCTGACTTTGTTTTTATTTATGACATTGAGCTTATCCATCATCTCTTTCCACAGAGATAGTATTTTCAATAGCCTCATACACAATTCAAACCCAGCAGTTACTTCTTGGAAACCCTATACAGGGTTGCTATGAGTTAGAACAGACTTGATGCCACAAAACAATAATAATATGCTTGTGAAAATAGGAAGATGAATAAGGAAGAGTGTAGAAGAATTGATACATTTGAGTTATGGTGCTGGAGGAAAATACTGAAAAGTACCATGGACCACAAGAAGAACAAACAAATCTGTGTTGGAAGAAGTACAGCCACAATGCTCCTTAGAAGCTAGGATGACTAGACTTCGTCTCTCATACTTCAGACATATTGTCAGAAGGGATCAATCCCTGGAGAAAGACATTATGTTTGGTAAAATGGTCAGAGAAAAAGAAGAAGATGTCCAACATGATGGACTGCCACAGAGGCAGCAGTAATGGGCTCTAACGTACAACTGTGAGGATGCACGTAGGACCAGATAGTGTTTCATTCTGTTATTCGTAGGGTCACTATGAGTTGGGGCCAACTTGACAACACCCAACAACAACACAGCACAGATGTAGTCACTTTGATTCCTGTGTATTTCATCTGGTGAGATTCATGTGTTTAAACATTAAAAATTTAAACAACCTTGTATGATTTCTAAAAAAGATTGCAATGAATAAGTCATTGGTTTTTCAAACTTATCATGCAATCTTTAGCATCATTTCATCAAGGCCTTATTTTTAAGTATTGACCCTCCCTCTTTGTTTCCAATCTTCACATTCCAATCACTAGCAATTATCAACATATCTTTATTGCATGTTTGATCAATTTCAGACCAAAGAAGTCACTAGAATTCTCAAGTTTTCATCATCACTGGTTTTAGTGGTTGATGTGCAAATCTTAATAATAGTGGTATTAACTTGTCTTCCTTGCAGACATATAGACATTATCCTATCACAGACAGCATTGTATTTCAAGATAGATCTTGAAATGTTGTTTCTGATGATGAATGCTACTTCATTCCTCTTGAATTTGTTGTTTCCAGCATAGTAGCCCATATGACTGTCAGATTCAAAATGGCCAATACCAGCCCATTTCAGCTCAATAATACCTAGAATATCAATCTTTATCAGTTCCATTTCACTTTTGATAACTTCCAATTTTCCTAGATTTGTTCTTTGTACCTAATAAGTTTTGATTATTAATGGATGTTTCCAGCTATTTCTCCTCATTTTGAGTTG